ACACAAAAAAAAAAAAGGAAAAAAAAAAAAAAAAAAAAAAAAGTGAGAACCTTAGCAACCAGGTCGAGAAGCTTGTTAGGTGGAGCTTCTACATTCAGTGGAGTCAATGTTGCTGAAGCAACAGCACTTGCAGCCTGGTGAACAAGTATCAATGCTTTCATTTTCATTTTCAATTTCTAATAACAGATTTGAATTCTAAGATAAATGAACATATTCATCCAAAAATCAACATTTTGTGTTATGATTGAAGCGAGATTACTGGGCTTGCCTGAGTGAGATTGTTGTCGCGAAGATGAGCGACGATGAGAGAATTGAGGTGTCTGTAGAGTTTGCCATCTTGCACCGTCTGCTCCGAGCTACTGTTATCCATTTCTGCAAAGAGAAAAGAGAAGAAGAAGAAGAATTTCACGGAACCTGAAACCCTAGAAGCTGATCTGTTTGGTTAGTTCCCAAATCGGAGGAAGAGCTTCCACTGTGTTTGTTTATTTTGCTGCCGCCACTTTCATTTTGTTTTCAAAATTGCAAGATAATCAAACAACAACAAGTTTCAATGAATTAAGAAATAAAACTTGTCAAGTGAAATAAAAGAAGAAAGAAATAATTAGAAAACATGCATGTAAAATAACTCGTATAATAATTTATTCAACATTATTGATTGTCTTTACCCTTTGTTTATAGAGAAAAAAAAATATAAATAATGAGTGATATTCATGTGTACAGTAACTTTGATTAGTTAAATATTATTTTAATATTAATTATGTGATTACTCAATTCTATAGATTGGTATTCAATTTTTTTTGTTCGTTGATGGAGTATCTACCGTCGATAGCAGTGACTAATCTCCTCACTACGTTGGAGGCACCTCAAAGGGTGGGAACCCCTGACCTTGCTTAAGCGTGGATCAACCCCTACCGCTGAACCACACGCTTAGGATTAGATTGGTATTCAATTAATTGCAAAAGTAATATTTTTTTATTAGTAACAAGTAATAATTCTAAAGATTAAATGAAAGATTAGTATTTTAATATGTGTGATGTATATGGTAAATGTTTATTTTAAATATTTATAATTTATAATAAATCTTTTTAAAAATATGTAAGTTATAGTAGAATTAAAATTTCTAAAAATTTCTTCTTCATATAAAATCAATTAAAAATACTCTTATCAAATAATAATTCATAAAAGCAGACACTTATTATTAAAAGATCTCTTTAGAGTTAAGCGTGACGACATAACTTGTTAACCATAATGCATTTAAATAGATGGTGATTGTAAATAAATTGAATTAAGGTGAATATTTGATGGATTTGTTTTCATTTGATGTATGGTGAATTGTTGTGGTATGATTGTTGTTTATTTAAATGTTGATAGTCCCTTTTGTGATTGATGATGTATTATATCCCTGTTATGATATTATACAAGATTGTTTATGTTGAGTTTATCCTTACTTGTATGTGTATGCTTGCGATAATTGTATCTTTGATATAGGAGTAGATTAGAAGTATGACGTTGGAGCAGTAGTGGGCAACTATATTAGGAGATCTTATGATGGTTTTGCTTTAGAAGTTTGCTTTGAGTGTTGGCCAGCTTAAGAGTTATTATTGGTTTTTCCTTGTGTATATATTTTGAGAAGTTGTAATCTAGTAAGGAGATCCTTTTTGATATTTTGTTTATCAAGGATTTTTTGGATGATTCTATTTATATAAACTTTGTTTCTTATGATTTGCATATGCATGTGTTATGTCTAGGTATCTCTTGATAAAAAAATTGCAAGATAAATGACCATATATGTATTCAAACACACATTAAGTTTGACACCGTGATCTTCCACAAAATATAGAAGAGTTAGAGAAGTTGCAATAGATATGAAAGGCATGAACTATTCTAATTTCATGTTTTTATATTACTCTAACTATTAAATTTATAACAATAGATAAAAGGAATACCATTTCTTGATTTTCACTTTTTTTAAGACATATTGACCTTTACTAATTGCAACTCTAAATCACTATTACTAAGTAAATGCAAAAATTTAAGTTCACAACTAGCTACAAAATCATCAAAAGCCATCCTCAACCACAACTCCTTTCCTAACCACCAATTCTCCCTCAAACCCAAACACAAATCTCTCCTCCGCCACCAAAAATGTAAACAAAAACCCGTGTACCTAAATCGCTTCACATCCATGTCCATGAGTCTTCACCTGACTTAGATGACAAACACATCTTTTTCCACCTCTCTTGCCTAACACCAAAACCTAAGTCACCATCACCTCCACCACAACCATCCATAGCACCTCTTCCTCCAAAGTCCAAGAAACTAAGGTTGGTTTGAGGTCTCACTAAGCCTCAAACCATGAAGGAGAAACAAAGGCTCTTCAAATGGGAAGACGCTATCTCACCTAGAGGTAGAAGATTAAGACAAAAAAAATGAAGAGTTGGCCGCTAAAGAAGTAAAAATGCTTAAGAAAACATTGCATTGTCTATGAAAGACATGACCACTACAGTAGTTTCATCTAACTACATTAGATGTAGACTTTGGTCTTCATCTACACAACCATCATATGATGTAGATGAGGGTCTTTGACCAACACAAACTGATGGTTCTGTTGTATAGACGACCTCATCAGAAGTTATTCCTACTCTAATAGCCCAAGTTGCAACACCAGTTACCTTTGTTGCATCTCCCCTTGATTTATTAGTAAGGTTTGTTAAACCTGTTATGCCCACATTCCCCATATCGGTGAAACTGTCGTACCTTGCGGATGACATTACACCTTTGTCTACTAAGGTCATAATCGAGGCAATACCCCTATGAGTGGACATGTCATTGGTGGAGCCAGACCCTTGAAAACCATAAGATTACTTATCATTTGTGCCCCTATATAACACCTTTGAGTCTAAGAGCATAGACTCTGAGGAGAAGAAAAAACTACAAAGACTATAAGAGGAAGCATACCATTAAAGACAATTAGATACCTCTAGTCCTTTATGCCACCAGGAGGTCTCCTTACTTCAATAATAAGAAGCACATCATCATGTCCTATTTTGAAGCCCCTGGAACTGTCATTTGACCAAGGACTACCTTACAGGTTGTACTAAGGCCTATTGATCTCAATGATTCACTATGTCTAAATGCCCAAACAACTTAGCTTATCTAGCAGTAGTGCCATGAAGTCCAGAATCTCATCCATTTGTGAGTTGCTTTGGAGCTAAGCTATAAGGGAACCCTTCATCATTCGCCCTAGATGCTTAGTGAGGTATTCAAGCCATGGATGATCCAATCATAGACCAAGTTCTTCATTGTTGATATTCGTCCCAAGGCTACTCTTCACTCGTCTACAAGGGTAAGGAGAAGTTGAAGACATACTTGGAAGATGTGTGTTACATGCAATATGCCTAGTGTCATTAGTCCAATGCCTCCAACAAAGAAAAAGTTGAGCATCTACCATACATTATTGGAAGAAGCATGCAGACCTACCCAATCCTTTTTAGTGTTATGCCCTCCATCTCCAACACTCTCTCCACTCGTCATAGGATTTATCATTATTTCTCTCCTTTTCTCATTACTTTTCAATATTTTTACCTGGTAACATTATTTTTCTATATAGAAAAATTGTTTGCATGCCTTCTTCTAAATAACCAGGCCCATCTACTCCAACCCAAATTGCTCCCCTTACAACTAAAGCTGAATAGGACCACCTCCTTGTTGGTCTCTTAAAGCTCTCTCTTTCGCTTATTAGAGGCAAACACGTTATGAAAGGAAATTCCACAAGCTGCTTAGCTATTTGAACATTGAATTGAGCTCTAATGAGGATCTAATGAAAAGGAAGACTAATCTCAAGGGGAGTCGCATTTTTGGACAATCTTTTTGCTAGTGCTAGAAAAGAGAGTAGAAATTGGGTTTTTGAACATATTTTTTTTTTGCTTTGTTTTGCTCTAGTTTTGTTATTGTTGATTTTTTATCTAAAAATATGCACTAATATAATGCCTTTTTAGACCATGCATGTTTTCAAGGGGAGTCCACTATGCATTTTACCTTATACATTTGTATGCTTTGGTATGAATATCATGAATAAGTGCATGCTCTGTAAAATAGGTTATGAAATGAAAAATATTGACATACTCTAAACATATGCTCTAATAAACATATTAGGCTATGATATGAAAAATACTGATATACTCTAAACATAGGCTCTGATAAACACATTAGGCTCTAATATGCAATATAGGCTCTAATATGCATGATAGACAACATATGCTCTTATAAATATTTGAGTCTCTGATGTGCAACATATGCTTTGTTTGACTAATAACTCGATATGTTCACTAATAGGCTCTAAAATGAATAAGAAGTCCAATTTACATATTTCTTTAGTCTTCAATAACACTATGAAATGATCAATAACATCATAAGAATATGTCAACATACATGTCTTAAATGGATGTATGCGTAAATTGAAATTGGTATGATCTTATACACAACGTCTGAAAGATGTGTTCTTGTATTACTTTGATGATTTTATAATGTTTTCACGTTTCAAAGAAAATCACATTTTTTATTTGTTTAGTCTTTAATAACACTATGAAATGATCAATAACATCATAAGAATACGTCAACATACATGTCTTAAATGGATGTATGTGTAAAGTTGAAATTGGTATGATCTTATACACATCGTCTGAAAGATGTGTTCTTGTATTACTATGATGATTTTATAATGTTTTCACGTTTCAAAGAAAATCACATTTTTGATAAAAATTATTTTCTCAAATTAAGTTATCTTCACGATAATCATTCCACCTTAATCAAACAAAAATATTTTCTAAAGCGAGAAAAATCCCTAAAGCTTTCAAGTTTTAATGATAACAAACAAAATATTTTTGTAAAAGAAAATATCTTTTATGAAATACACACCAGACGATGCATAAGACAAAATGTTAGACAGACAATGTGTCATCAGATGAAGTATGCAGTCTTACTTCATAAAGCCTAAAATATGTATCATTTATAATGAATAACGACTACTTATTGCATGGCTAATTGATTCCTTAATAGATCAAATTAAGAAAGTTCATTGGAACTCACAAATCTATGAAAGTGAATGAGTGCATGCTTTGCATGAAAAACAAGAACAAACGGATCCCTAAAATCATGAAAAAAGTCAACAAAAGTTTATATAAAACATATTCTTCGCTGACGCACTCCATAGATAGTTCGTTTAGTATCCTAAAACTAATAAGTAGCATTCTTGATCAAATAAGAAGTGATAATTTGGTGAAACGCAATTAATGCAAGCAAGCTTGTGATGAACCCTTAAGGTTTTGCAATAATCATCTTCATCTAGACTACTATATAAGAAGCTTTACGATCAGAAAGAAAATAACTTTTGTACAAAATTATCATTTATTCATTCTTTTTATAAAGACTTATGTTCTTAATTGGTTGTATCACGTCTTGTTTGTAAGACGAAACAACATCTATAAAACTTTACCCAAATACAAATGTTATTATAGGGTTGAGCTTGGAGAGACTTATTTATAAAATAATACTTATTTGAGTCTGAAGAGGTTTGTCTATAAAATAAT